TTTTTTTTTTTTTTATCAATAAAAAAGAAATCAATACTTGTAATCGGTGAGGGCACAATTAATCAAAAGTGACAGTGAAGTCATTTATAGTTCTACAAAAGATTTCTAATTTAAAAAATATATATTTTAAACGTACTATTCATGAAAGAATCCTGACAATTTTTAAGCAGAACAACTGTTTTCAGCATATTAGATCAAGAAACTGAAGGTTGGTGTAATGATGCTGATAATTTAGCTTTGCCATCACAGGAATGAATTACATTTTTAAAATACTACAATAGAAAACAGTTATTTTGAATGATAAATAAGTAAGATTTCACAATATTATTAGTTTTACTGTATTTTTAATCAAATAAATGTTGTCTTGATGAGCATAAATGATTTCTATCAAAAGCATTAAAGGGGTCATCGGATGCCAATTTGTAAAAAGTTGATATGATTCTTTAGGGTCTTAGTGAAAAGTCTATAACATACTTTGGTTAAAATTTCTCAATGGTAGTGTAAAAAACTAAATTTTTTTAGCTCTGTTCACAGCAAGCCGTTTCGGTGCATGTCCCTTTAAATGCTAATGAGCTCTGCTCACCCCACCGCTCTCTTCCATGCTGTGACAAGCCGTTCTCTGAGACTGTAAACTTTAGCCACATTTAGCCGTGAAACTTGCTAACTACAGGGTGTCCGCAGGTCCTTAAAAAGTCTTAAAATGTCTTAATTAACGTTTTCCTAATATAAGGCCTTAAAAAGTCTTAATGTGTCTTAAATTCGGATTCGATGGGTCTTAAATATTTTTGGTCTCATTACCACTGAAAATATCTTCAGTCTGACGGACCTAATGACTGTTTACAATCATTGGACAGACCGAAGATTTTTTCTTCCCCGCGGTAAGTTACTGCGTCATCAGAGAGAATTGCAGTAAGTTAGCAGAATACAGAATACAAGCTCGCGCTGAGGTTCACTCTGTTTGTCTCGAGACTTCAGAACAAATGAGCGTGACCGCACACAAACTCAGAAGTAACACACTGAGGTAAAAATTCAAAATGTTTAGTTTATTCATAACATGATATAGTTAAATAACACCATGACAAGTGAGCTATTTTGCTCAATATTCTCACAACGCAAAAAAAATTTCAAAACTCCTACAGAGTGCACGCATTACATGAAGTCTAGCGCTCTGCCTGATCACTGCATGATTCAGTCTATTAAAATACATTCAGAATGATCACAAATTCAAGACATGGGGGCAGAAAATGTGTATATTTATGCCATTTCATATAGTTAATCAAGTTAACACAGAAGAGTGCCTTTTTTTTCTCTCCAAAAATTACCATATACAAATGTGATATTGATTTTTTACAACAGTTCAATAAACTAGAAGTTTTATTAAGAGACTTATGTTTTAGACACCATATTGCCTGTTTTCGCCAACAAAAATAATTCCAAACAGCCACAGCGCTCTTTTGCGTCTCTGAGCAACATGACGTGTTTCGTTCCTGAATGAATCAACTGTTTAAATGATTCTGTTCCGTCGCAATGACTCACTTATTAACAGTGACTTACTGCCACCTACTGGCAGTTTTAATTTCACATTTTAAGTATCTTTTAATTTTTTTAATTATTTCAAATATCAGTATTCAATGTTTTATGTTTAATATATCAAAACATTATTTATGCATTTGTAACTGCAGGTTAAATGCATTCATGTCCTGCATTAAACGGTGTGTAAACACATCTAAATGCCAATTCAGGTGCAGCTTATGTCTGGATTGCAAAGATGAATTTTGTTAATACTGATTTAATTTGCTTGGTAACAGCCCAAATGTCTTATTATTCTAATTCACTGATTAAATGTAAGAATTTGACTCAAAAGATAATGCACACTTATAGAAAAATGGCTTTATAAAGGTAAAATGCCCATAAAAGGTAAAAATCAATTTAAACTTATTGGAAAAGATTAATTTCTATCTGACCACCACACAGAATATGAAGAATATCAAAAACTTTAGGAGTCAGCTGTCCATGAAAGTCCTTAATATACCAGCATGATAACACACTCAATCAGTTGAATGAATGACTTACCGCCACTTACTGGTAGTTGAGTTGAGAAGTATGTTGAAAAGTATGCATTTTCCCCTCAAGATTTCTTATTTGTATACTCATAAATGCATTTAAAACATTAATCTCATAACATTATTTATTGCAGTTGTAATTATTGTTATTTGCAGTGTAAATTATTTAATCTGACTGGTAGCAGCCTTAGTGTATAATGAATTTATTGATAAATTGTAATAATTTGACATGTAAGATGATGCATACATCTAAAAAGGTTAAAAATAGGCCTTTGTAAAGGTAAATATGCAGATTTAAGTATGTAAAAGCTGATAGAACACTGATGAAAATATTGCTTCAGAATAAATTGTTTATTCCACCAAAAATCTCAGTGATGCAGTTATTTTGCATGGATATTTTGTATGGAATATTGTCTGCTGACATGAAAAGTTCACTGTATATCGTAGTAATAAATATAATTTATTACAGCAATGATATTTAGTTTTCTTTTTAATTTATACTCATTAAATATTACATATATGTATGTAATAAAATGTGTATTTCCATTACAGGTTTAGGCCTTAAATTTCATAAAAGGTGGTATTAAAAAGGTCTTAAAAAGTCTTAAATGTAACTTTTTCATGTCTGCAGAAACCCTGTAACTAGCACATTATTAGGAAAGGTGATTTGCAAAGATTCATAAAAAACATATACTCACTTCTTCTGGAGGTGAAGCTGGATCATGAATGATTTGCGCGAACATAGACGCATTTAGGTAGATGGGGGGGTTCATTCTCTTCAAAAACAAAAGTAATCCACTGCGTCTTCGGCAACTCAGATGTTGGGAGTAAATGACAACTGCTATGTTCATTATTACATCCAACCACAGAACACCCCAATCACTTAGGAGACATTCTTGTCTACATCTGCTCCGGCATCAAAACAATGGCGGATTTTTATCATTATAGGGTGGTTGTGTACTCGCACTGCCAAGACACATTTCAGTTCAAACAGCTTGTAAAAGTGAATTTTGCATCCGATGACCCCTTACAGACCCCAAACTTTTGAACGATAGTGTACTTTGAAAGAAAATTTCACTGGATGAAAGTAATGACCATTTGGACTGTGCGTTGATTTTTTCAGATTCAGTGCTGATTCACAAGCTCTCTATTCAATTCTGCTTTCGAATCCATTTTGATTATTTCAGTTACAATGTCCTTTTTACTTGGAGAATGTGCACTTTTACTTTAGAGAAAATTACCACATTTACTGTTACTCTTCAAAATATTGTGTAAAGTCCAGTTTCTTTCTTTCTTTGTGAATTGTGCTTCATACATCTTTCTTTACTCTTGACATTTTGCTTTAGTTTCAGTAATGTGCACTGCACTTAACGCGCTAAATTATACAAGGACAACGTTTCAAACTAGTAACCCATCTTTTTAAACTATTCATTAAAAGAGTTATTTGTTGTGTAAATCATATTGCACTAGCAATTCTGTAAGTTTTTGATTTACAAAAAAAGATCCACAACTCATAATTTGTTCATTAATTGAACTACAGTTATGCTCTAGTGTGATTCCTGCAACAAATTATTTGTATGAATTTGTTCTTTTAATGAATAGTTAAAAATATCGAGCTACTGGTGCGAATTAGTTACTTTTTTAATTTTTTCAACTGTTTTAAGCAGCCATATGGGAACCCGTGATATGCTGCTAATGATAGAACAGTCTCACCTCCCAAAAAGGTGATTAAACAATTGAGTTTGCCAACACGTTGATTTCCTTGTAGTGTTGCCATCTTTGTTTAACAGCTATGAAGAAGTAGGTGGATGTATTGAATGACAGCCATAAACCTGAATATGTGTGAATCTGTGGAAATCATCAGAGACACAATGTGGGTGGCTGCATTTGCTAATTTGTTATCAAATTGGATTTCATGCTAAATATAGTACATTATTAATCCACCTATCCACCGTTGGCCCCCAGACGTCAGTCTTCACTTAAATTAAAGATGTCTTCATGATTCGCACCACACAACTGTGGTCAACTCGCCATGCACTATCAATTCATCATGCTTCAGAATGATACAGTTGTTTTTGTTCGTCTGAAGTGAATTCAGAATTGAAGTTTCTGTCAGAATTGTCACTACCAGTTTTTATTATTCTGAGTGTAGTGTTTATCTCCCTTGTGTCTTTCTCTCTCTCTTCCCAACTTTCTTTCTTCCTCACTTCCTCCTTTTCTCTCTCAGATCAGTCAGATGCTGGGGAATGAGATCAAGTTTGCGGTTCGAGAGCCTGTGGGACTGAGGTAAGACAAAATCCCTGTGCTGTTCTGCCGCGCTCTACACCGCAGTGCTTGGGGGAGTTTGCTCTTATAAACCTAATTTATTACGTTCTGCCTTGGGTCACCAATGCAGAAAATAGCAGGCCTTTAATTAAATCACAGTTATTTTGACAGGCCACAGATGAACCAGCTGAACCCTGGGCTCGATAATTGTACAAATTCAGCCGCTGTTTAAGTTACGCATATCATTTTGTCTGTCTCTGGAATGGATACTAAAGCCAAATGGTTTATGTAAGAAGAATCCCCTGCAATATTATTAGCTTCTAATTTATGTGCATTAGCTGAGTCACTTGTTAAGTCTCTATAGCTCAATTTGAATTTTGCACCATTCAAGAACATAGCACATTTCTAGAATATATACAGTGGGGGTCCAAAAATGTAAAACCAGTATTGAAGCATTTTTGTTGTTAAATGCATTTTTACATTTTAAATTACACTACTGTCCAAAAGTTTTAGGTAGGTAATATTTCTTTAGTTTTTTTGAAAGAAGGATCTTATGCTCACCTAGGCTTCCCCGCGGTAAGTTACTGCGTCATCAGAGAGAATTGCAGTAAGTTAGCAGAATACAGAATACAAGCTCGCGCTGAGGCTCACTCTGTTTGTCTCGAGACTTCAGAACAAATGAGCGTGACCGCACACAAACTCAGAAGTAACACACTGAGGTAAAAATTCAAAATGTTTAGTTTATTCATAACATGATATAGTTAAATAACACCATGACAAGTGAGCTATTTTGCTCAATATTCTCACAACGCAAAAAAAATTTCAAAACTCCTACAGAGTGCACGCATTACATGAAGTCTAGCGCTCTGCCTGATCACTGCATGATTCAGTCTATTAAAATACATTCAGAATGATCACAAATTCAAGACATGGGGGCAGAAAATGTGTATATTTATACCATTTCATATAGTTAATCAAGTTAACACAGAAGAGTGCCTTTTTTTTCTCTCCAAAAATTACCATATACAAATGTGATATTGATTTTTTACAACAGTTCAATAAACTAGAAGTTTTATTAAGAGACTTATGTTTTAGACACCATATTGCCTGTTTTCGCCAACAAAAATAATTCCAAACAGCCACAGCGCTCTTTTGCGTCTCTGAGCAACATGACGTGTTTCGTTCCTGAATGAATCAACTGTTTAAATGATTCTGTTCCGTCGCAATGACTCACTTATTAACAGTGACTTACTGCCACCTACTGGCAGTTTTAATTTCACATTTTAAGTATCTTTTAATTTTTTTAATTATTTCAAATATCAGTATTCAATGTTTTATGTTTAATATATCAAAACATTATTTATGCATTTGTAACTGCAGGTTAAATGCATTCATGTCCTGCATTAAACGGTGTGTAAACACATCTAAATGCCAATTCAGGTGCAGCTTATGTCTGGATTGGAAAGATGAATTTTGTTAATACTGATTTAATTTTCTTGGTAACAGCCCAAATGTCTTATTATTCTAATTCACTGATTAAATGTAAGAATTTGACTCAAAAGATAATGCACACTTATAGAAAAATGGCTTTATAAAGGTAAAATGCCCATAAAAGGTAAAAATCAATTTAAACTTATTGGAAAAGATTAATTTCTATCTGACCACCACACAGAATATGAAGAATATCAAAAACTTTAGGAGTCAGCTGTCCATGAAAGTCCTTAATATACCAGCATGATAACACACTCAATCAGTTGAATGAATGACTTACCGCCACTTACTGGTAGTTGAGTTGAGAAGTATGTTGAAAAGTATGCATTTTCCCCTCAAGATTTCTTATTTGTATACTCATAAATGCATTTAAAACATTAATCTCATAACATTATTTATTGCAGTTGTAATTATTGTTATTTGCAGTGTAAATTATTTAATCTGACTGGTAGCAGCCTTAGTGTATAATGAATTTATTGATAAATTGTAATAATTTGACATGTAAGATGATGCATACATCTAAAAAGGTTAAAAATAGGCCTTTGTAAAGGTAAATATGCAGATTTAAGTATGTAAAAGCTGATAGAACACTGATGAAAATATTGCTTCAGAATAAATTGTTTATTCCACCAAAAATCTCAGTGATGCAGTTATTTTGCATGGATATTTTGTATGGAATATTGTCTGCTGACATGAAAAGTTCACTGTATATCGTAGTAATAAATATAATTTATTACAGCAATGATATTTAGTTTTCTTTTTAATTTATACTCATTAAATATTACATATATGTATGTAATAAAATGTGTATTTCCATTACAGGTTTAGGCCTTAAATTTCATAAAAGGTGGTATTAAAAAGGTCTTAAAAAGTCTTAAATTTAACTTTTTCATGTCTGCAGAAACCCTGTAACTAGCACATTATTAGGAAAGGTGATTTGCAAAGATTCATAAAAAACATATACTCACTTCTTCTGGAGGTGAAGCTGGATCACGAATGATTCGCGCGAACATAGACGCATTTAGGTAGATGGGGGGGTTCATTCTCTTCAAAAACAAAAGTAATCCACTGCGTCTTCGGCAACTCAGATGTTGGGAGTAAATGACAACTGCTATGTTCATTATTACATCCAACCACAGAACACCCCAATCACTTAGGAGACATTCTTGTCTACATCTGCTCCGGCATCAAAACAATGGCGGATTTTTATCATTATAGGGTGGTTGTGTACTCGCACTGCCAAGACACATTTCAGTTCAAACAGCTTGTAAAAGTGAATTTTGCATCCGATGACCCCTTACAGACCCCAAACTTTTGAACGATAGTGTACTTTGAAAGAAAATTTCACTGGATGAAAGTAATGACCATTTGGACTGTGCGTTGATTTTTTCAGATTCAGTGCTGATTCACAAGCTCTCTATTCAATTCTGCTTTCGAATCCATTTTGATTATTTCAGTTACAATGTCCTTTTTACTTGGAGAATGTGCACTTTTACTTTAGAGAAAATTACCACATTTACTGTTACTCTTCAAAATATTGTGTAAAGTCCAGTTTCTTTCTTTCTTTGTGAATTGTGCTTCATACATCTTTCTTTACTCTTGACATTTTGCTTTAGTTTCAGTAATGTGCACTGCACTTAACGCGCTAAATTATACAAGGACAACGTTTCAAACTAGTAACCCATCTTTTTAAACTATTCATTAAAAGAGTTATTTGTTGTGTAAATCATATTGCACTAGCAATTCTGTAAGTTTTTGATTTACAAAAAAAGATCCACAACTCATAATTTGTTCATTAATTGAACTACAGTTATGCTCTAGTGTGATTCCTGCAACAAATTATTTGTATGAATTTGTTCTTTTAATGAATAGTTAAAAATATCGAGCTACTGGTGCGAATTAGTTACTTTTTTAATTTTTTCAACTGTTTTAAGCAGCCATATGGGAACCCGTGATATGCTGCTAATGATAGAACAGTCTCACCTCCCAAAAAGGTGATTAAACAATTGAGTTTGCCAACACGTTGATTTCCTTGTAGTGTTGCCATCTTTGTTTAACAGCTATGAAGAAGTAGGTGGATGTATTGAATGACAGCCATAAACCTGAATATGTGTGAATCTGTGGAAATCATCAGAGACACAATGTGGGTGGCTGCATTTGCTAATTTGTTATCAAATTGGATTTCATGCTAAATATAGTACATTATTAATCCACCTATCCACCGTTGGCCCCCAGACGTCAGTCTTCACTTAAATTAAAGATGTCTTCATGATTCGCACCACACAACTGTGGTCAACTCGCCATGCACTATCAATTCATCATGCTTCAGAATGATACAGTTGTTTTTGTTCGTCTGAAGTGAATTCAGAATTGAAGTTTCTGTCAGAATTGTCACTACCAGTTTTTATTATTCTGAGTGTAGTGTTTATCTCCCTTGTGTCTTTCTCTCTCTCTTCCCAACTTTCTTTCTTCCTCACTTCCTCCTTTTCTCTCTCAGATCAGTCAGATGCTGGGGAATGAGATCAAGTTTGCGGTTCGAGAGCCTGTGGGACTGAGGTAAGACAAAATCCCTGTGCTGTTCTGCCGCGCTCTACACCGCAGTGCTTGGGGGAGTTTGCTCTTATAAACCTAATTTATTACGTTCTGCCTTGGGTCACCAATGCAGAAAATAGCAGGCCTTTAATTAAATCACAGTTATTTTGACAGGCCACAGATGAACCAGCTGAACCCTGGGCTCGATAATTGTACAAATTCAGCCGCTGTTTAAGTTACGCATATCATTTTGTCTGTCTCTGGAATGGATACTAAAGCCAAATGGTTTATGTAAGAAGAATCCCCTGCAATATTATTAGCTTCTAATTTATGTGCATTAGCTGAGTCACTTGTTAAGTCTCTATAGCTCAATTTGAATTTTGCACCATTCAAGAACATAGCACATTTCTAGAATATATACAGTGGGGGTCCAAAAATGTAAAACCAGTATTGAAGCATTTTTGTTGTTAAATGCATTTTTACATTTTAAATTACACTACTGTCCAAAAGTTTTAGGTAGGTAATATTTCTTTAGTTTTTTTGAAAGAAGGATCTTATGCTCACCTAGGCTGCTGATCAAAAACAGTAATATTGTGAAATATTATCACAAATTAACTGTTTTCTAGTTGAATATATTTTAAAATGTAATTTATTTCTGTAATGGCAAATTAGAATTTTCAGCAGCCATTGCTCCAGTTGTCAGTGTCAGATGATTCTTCAGAAATCATTCTAATATGCTGATTTGGTGCTCAAGAAATATTTCTTCTTATCATTGTTGGAAACAGTTGTGAAACATATTTATTGGACTGTCCTCCTTTTAATACAAGTAGATAGCATTTCTATTTAATAAGCTCACTTTGTTTAGTAAGATTTTACCAGAAAAGTTTTTTTATTATTATATATTTATTTATTTTTAATTAATTTTTGTCATACATAAATGTTAAAATATTATCTTAACTGCTGTGTTTTTCTTTTTGTTTAGTTTTTATTTTACTGTATTTATTGTAACCATGAAAATAGCCTCAGTTGCTGACATGGCTTTAAAAACTATACTATTACAACTACTACTACTAGAAACAGTTGTGCTGTTTAATATTTTTATAGAAACCGTGATCAATTTTTTACGGAAGAGGATTAGGGCCAAGCAATAATAAAAAAAATAAAACCATCTCGAGATTAAAGTCGTTAAATTTCAAGAAAAAAGTCGAGAGAAAATGTTGAGATTAAACTCATTAAATTTCGAGAATAAAGTCGTTGTTTTGAGAAAAAACATTACATTTCGCGAAAAAATTCGAAATAAAATGTTGAGAAGAAAGTCATTAAATTACGAGAAAAAAGTTGTTAAATTGCAAGAAAAAGTCAAGATAAAATGTTGAGAAGAAAGTCATTAAATAACGAGAAAAAAGTTGTTAATTTGCAAGAAAAAAGACGAGAATAAACACACTCGTGGCATGTTCATTTCATCTCGTTGGACAGTGTTATTTAGCATCTGCAGTGGGGTGGGTTGGAGAGTAATGCACTGGGGAGTAGCGACTGATATGATCGACTGGGATCGAGTCCGTCTTTTGCCAAACTCTTTTCTTCCTTTTCTCATCACATATCACATCAGAAAAGTGGAAATCAATTGCTTAACAAGTGTTTAATAATAATGTATTAATTAGGGGTAGGCAGGCTATAGGGATAGCTTTGTTGTCCCAATAAGGCAGCATCTATTTAATAATTTCAATAAATAAAATCGTTATTAAAATCAATGTTATTATTGCATCCTGTTAATGTACAGCAATACTGAAGTGCAAATAGTATCTGCCACTATTTATAAGTATAAATAGCATCTAATTTTTCCTCGGAATTTACCTCGCGGGGGTTTTTTTCTTGAAACATAACGACTTTATAATCGAAATTTAATTAGTTTAATCTCAACATTTTATCTCGACTTTTTTCTTGAAATGTAATGACTTTAATCTCGAGATGGTTTTATTTTTTTTATTATTGCTTGGCCCTAATCCTCTTCCGTAATTTTTTTTAAAGAGTCATTGATAAATAGAAAGTTCAAAATAACAGCATTTATTTGAAATATAATTTTTTTGTACCATTATAAATGTCTAACTTTTGATCAATTCAATAGATCGTTGCTGAATAAAAGTATTTATTTTTTACAAATAAAAAAATCTTACCGACCCCTAATTTTTGAAAGATAGTGTGTATATTATCAGCAATCTGCATAACAATTAGAGTCAAAATAAACATGGATTTCAAAATGTCTTAGTATGGGTTTGTCTCTCTTTTATTATAATGACAGCAGCACTGTATAAAGCCTGATGAATCTGTTCTCCAGCATGATTTGAGATGATCCAAAGAGCTTCAATGGTAGAGAAACATCTGACCATCTCTAAAGAGTCATATAAATGTCACAAATTAACTTATTTGATTAGTGATCTAAAAGTGGTCAGAATCAAAAATAGCTCTTATTCATTTTACATTCAAATGTTTCTTTAAGTTTATTTCCAGGTTTAAATGCAATCCCAGATCCAGATGAATCCCAGATATTTCAGCTCATGCTTTTGAACCCCTCTGTACTACATCTCACTGCTCTTGGCGCTTTAGAATAGAAGATTCACAACCAAAGTTAGCCGTCTTTTCTAACTGACTCTGATGTTTTTCCTTTCTCAAGATTATGGATCCTCTTCTCCGCTGTGGTTTTCACAGTAATGGCCCTTATGGTAAGTTTCAATACTTTAAGCTTTATACAGGACCAGTGCTCTCTTACTATCTTTAGTATCATAATGAGTCTATCAATAATTTATTTGAAATGTGTGATTTATAGGCTCTAGCCTTCCCTAACCAGCTGTATGAAGTTGTATTTGATCAAGAACAAACAGCCACCAGTGTCTCTATACGTCTCTATGGAGGGGCCATTCTCAGTAAGTCAAATTCATTTCATTCTGTGTTTTAATAATGCAACGTAACCTAATGATCTCTCACACTCTCAATTAGAGGTTGTCATGTGGTCAGCACATCTGTTGATGGGCTGTAAACAGACTCCTCTATGTGTCTTTTTACTCTTCTACTCAAGGGGCTCTTAGGATGTGTTTTTGTGTTTGATATGTGAGTTAATGGCCAGTCAGCCAGTGGATTGTGAAGAGAAGCGAGGAGTAAATATTCCCTGAGGGGGCGGCACGCTCTCCGCTGCTCATTCATTTAATTGCACATTAAATTGGACTCTTTCTGGCCCACTGCGGACAACGAATTTGCACAAATTAGTCGTGCAATTATTCCTCTCCATACCTGCTCCCTTTTCAAATCTTGCCCTCAAAAATTAAATAGATGAGATGTATTTTTAATATTACTCATTTAATTCTCCTCGTAGTTAGAAATATTCCCTGAGGGGGCGGCACGCTCTCCGCTGCTCATTCATTTAATTGCACATTAAATCGGACTCTTTCTGGCCCACTGCGGACAACGAATTTGCACAAATTAGTCGTGCAATTATTCCTCTCCATACCTGCTCCCTTTTCAAATCTTGCCCTCAAAAATTAAATAGATGAGATGTATTTTTAATATTACTCATTTAATTCTCCTCGTAGTTAAGTCTGTGTCAGCCGCTGTTCTCTGGTGTCTCCGGGTGAACATTTTATGTCTCGGCCCCCCGGTGATAAGTTACCTTTAATTAAGTGTAGTTCACTGGAACAGTGAACATTTGTGTCATCTCACTCAACATTTTCTCTTTTTATCTACCATTTCTAAAATTCACTACATTTAGGCTATTCATTGGATTAAACTTGGAAAATTAACTAAACTAATCTGAAATATCATTTGAACTCGTAGGGAAAAATTAAGTATTTAAAACCTTCTAAAGGGTCATTTGTCTTTGGTATATACAAACTACAATCCTGATAGTTTGAAGCATAGCATTAAATGTTGTGACACATTGTAATGTTTAGCTGTTACAAAGCTGTTCTTGTTTACTTGCACTACTGTTCAAAAGTTTGGGGTCAAAGGTCTGTTATTCTTACCAAGGCTGCATTTATTTGATCAGAAAGTTTTATGTGTTACTATATTTTAAAATGTACTTTATTCCTGATGGCAAAGATGAATTTTCAGCAGCCATTACTTCAGTCTTTAGTGTCACATGATCCTTCAGAAATAATTGTAATATGCTAATTGCTTAAGAAATATTTCTTCTTATTGTCAATGTTGAAAACAGTCGTGCTGCTTAATATTTATTTGGAAACCTTAATGCATTTTTTTTCTGGATTCTTTGATGAATATAAAGTTCAGAAGAACAAAATAAACTTTTGCAAAATTATAAATGTCGTAACTGTCACTTTTGATCAATTTCATACAATAGAAGTCAATAAGATCTTACTGACCCTAAACTTTTGAATAATAGTGTACATATACTGTAACACAGTGGTTCTCAACCTTTTTTTCCACTGGGCCGCACTATGGTCCAAGTGCAAGTCTCACGGGCCGCACGCATATCATTTACATATTATGTCACCAATACAAACCAACCAGATTTATAATAGCCTATTATAGCCTAAATATTATGATATCTAATCAATTACATTAATTGAAATAAATTAATAATTATACTCACCATTAATAAAACACCTGATGCTGTCGGGAGCTGACCAATTTTGTGAAATTCGGCTCGAAAGGAGTAACAGCACAATGAAGTTGCGATTGTAAGTTGCAGTCTGTAAGACGCGCACGGAAGCGTGACTTGACGCGCGACATTGCAGAAAATGTGCTTTTACAAATGTAGCCTATGTTGATCCAAATATGGAAAGCACTCCATAGATGTTTTGCCACATTTCTGCAATTAAGGATGATTGCTGCATAATATGGGTGTTTCCTTTTTGCCTGAACTAGAGCCCTGCATTTCAGCCCGGGCCCGATTGGCCCCGACTTTTTTACGCCCCTAGGGCCGGGCTTCGGGACAATTTTCACATCATAGTTCAGACACGGGCCGGGCATCGTGCTTGTTTTAGGCTTCTCCTTATTTTTATATTTTAGACATCCATCAATTAGTGATGAAAAAAATATGTTTTGCCGTGCTGGTGGAAACAACACGAGCCCGTGCTACCGTGACTGTCAAGAGCGGCTCGACAGTGTTTAGTGTCCAGCAGCAGCGAGCGTGCCGTCAGCACAGCTGAACAGTTCTGCATTCAAATGCACGCAATAGGCTAAAGCTTGCCGCAAAGCAACCGGCAAAAGTAATTACCATGAATGTGTCAGGGGGAAAGAGTAAGGAGATAATTGAATAATTAGTAATAAACTAGTGTTTTCTGAGTCGGTGTCGCAAGGATGAAGTTGCCGATCCTGACTCGCCATCTCCTCAGACGCACGGGCCTTTAGAGAGAAGTGCATCTTTACGGATTATGATTATAATGAAAGAGTTTTTGTTTTTGATTAGTTTTATTTCGTTAAGTAGTAATTTAAAGCTTTCTATAGATATATTTATCATTATATCATTATATATTTATCATGTCTGTGAGTTTCGGTTCATTTTTGTAAGCGCGCCTGTTCAAGACGAGATGGCAGAAAGCGCATCATGTTTGTTTTCTTTATTTTATAAAAGCACAACGTTTTGTTGGTATTGGTGCACACAAATAAAAGTAGACCCTTTACAGTTACGAATGATGTATTACTCTTACCTTTATGAGTAAAAATTACGGCGTATCCACTGAAAAAATGCAAGTGATCGCGCTGGCGCCTCCATGTCCTGCAAAGTGCGCTTCAGCTTCCACTCTCCGCACAAACTATTGGATATAGCGCACATTTATCTAGGTTTAACGTTAAAACATTGTTATATGCTTGAACCGTTTTATATCTATAGATTTTATTTTAGGCAATTCGTGATGATTTGAGAAGGCTAAATTGAGTCCAGCACTCTCCTACCTTCACTGCTGCGACTGCTCTTGTTTGTATGTGTTCCTTCGCATCTTCCACATTTCGTTTTTCTCCCTTAATAACAAATGTGTCCATTCTGATGCTCAATTTTACCGAACTAATGGCTGCTGATGACTATTTGAATTGAATTCTGCCATAGTGCGCGCTTGTAAATGTTCGTTAAATGCGTAACGTTAATTAGGCTACGTGAGTAGCCAACAGGTCTGCTCATGTCTGAAAATAATATATGAAAAACTCAATTATTTTACATAACAAAAACATTATAGCTTATATTTGTTTAGTACATTTTAAATTAATGTAAAAACTAAAATGAATGGTAAAACTGAAAGTTATGTTTAAAATTGTGTTCAGCATGGTGGGCCGCATTTGAATTTGTGACGGGCCGTGGGTTGAAAACCACTGCTGTAACATAACACTTCCTTATTTATGTGCTTTCTTTTTGACAGGTCTTTCTCTGATCATGTGGAATGGCTTGTACACTGCTGAGAAGGTTATCATCCAGTGGACATTACTTAGTGAGGCCTGCTACTTTGCCATCCAGTTTTTAGGTTTGTATCAGTAAGAACTTGAGTTAAAATGCGTGCTGTGCCTTGTCATCTCTAGATGGGCCCTGTACTATCATGATGCCACTGCCCTCTAGTGGTTATGGGCTATAAACAGATCCATTCAAGTATATACATGTACATTGTAACATACATTGTCTATGGCTTATTGCACATATGCAATTGGTTAAAACATTTGAAAGAAGTAAAATTAATTTCTAATTAAATTAAGTTGATATAGAAAAAAAGAGCACAGAGTAATATAAAGATCAAAAACACCTGTATGTTGCAATGAAACAGGTTAAAGGGTTAGTTCACCACAAAATTAAAATTCTGTTATTAATTACTCACCCTCATGTCGTTCCAAACCCGTAAGACGGGTTGTACTGTTCATCTTCAGAACGCAAATTAAGATATATATAATTACAGGTGCATTGCTGTCTGTGGAGGGTCAGAGAGCTCTCAGATTTCATAAAAAATATCTTAATTTGTGTTCCGAAGATGAACGGCGGTCTTACGGGTCTTACATTACAACCTGAAACTTTTGAATGGTACTATAAAGCCCCATTCCCACCAAGAACGATAACTATAAAGATAACTATAAAGATATTAGCATCCACACCAGCAGAAAATATCGTCTGTTTATTCTAAGCACATGCTCGTCTGCCGCATAAAATTCTCGAGCTCGCTATAGCAGGTTTGATTCTGATTGGGTGTCAATGTTTGTAATTGACGTTATTTCTTATTTACTTGTAATTTTAGCATTCCCAAATTTTATTTTATTTTTTTTATCTGAACTGAGATTTTAAAATAAACCATTTAATAATTAAAGATCAAATTTGCATGTTCACAGTTCTCTGAAGTTGGTTAATGGTCACATAACATGCAGGTAAACATAAAATATTTCATTTTTTAGTAAGTGTTTTATTTTAATTGATGTTGTTTTAATTTAACTTTTTAATTTTGTTTTATTAATTATAAGCTTTTCATTGAACTCACAAACAAATGAACCTGCAGTTGATCTAAACGAGTTAGGTCAAAAGTAATCAAAGTAGTCTGATTATATTACCTACATTTGTGTAATGTAATGGAATAGAGCGAGAGAGCTAGTGCATTCTCAGGGGGCGCAAATGTGCATTAGCACAAATGTTTTTACGGTAAGTTTTCTCTTCAAGTACCATTAATTTGAACAATTTGTAAAATAAAAAAAAAGAAAGAATCTTACTAAGCAAGTTCATTAAAACCAGTATATTGATTTCAAATGACCTCAATAATACATCTTGTTTAATGGCTCAGACATTTGAAAGCAAAGCCAGAAACATAGCCTACTTTACGCAAGTACTTAAGTCGTGAATGCTTGGCCAGTGTAATATATACATGATGTGCATGGGGATCGTTCAAGTCATGTTGGAAAGATTGAATTTATGAGTTGAATGCACATGAACACCAGTTTTCAAGTTGGGGGTGTGTCAGTGAGAAAATGCGTCCATATTGACTGCAAATTTGTTAAAATTTAAGTTATTTTTCCCAATTTACAGTAAAACTAAATTGCATCTATGAAATATAAGCGATGTACTACAATTTACTGATTCAATTTACCAGACATAAATTGAACAAAAACACAATATTTGTTCATCGTTTTGTAGAAGCAGAGTTTTAAAATCATGCAGAATTTTTTGTAGAAAAGGTACATTGCCATCTTGCACCAAAGTGACTTGAACACATCTTGCATCGTAATTATGGCTTCCCAACTCCCAACGTCCCAGCAGGTCTAGAATGTACCAGTAGCCCTAGTGGTGATAAATCTAAGGAGACGATAGAGTTAAATGTGTCCTGCCATTAAACAGGATGTTATTATTCAGGTAAGTTGCTATAAACATACTGACTTTAGGAAACCTGTTTAGCAAGATTCTCTTCAATTTGTTGTTCTGCCACGGTACTATAATTCTCCTGAACGAAAAACTAACGGAAAAACATAAACAAGATTTAATAAACACATTCTAGGATATTAGGGTCACTGGTCTGCTGTCAGGACAGCGACATCTGTCTGTAATGAAAGCACAGATGTGGAAATAGGCCAGAACTGAGTTTGGGCTAAGCAGTGGATGCTTCTTCAGGTCCATAAAAGGTTAAAGGCTGACAGACCTCCCAGGACGTGTCTCTGACTGGAATGAGCCCACAGAGAGAGAGAGAGAGAGCCAGGATACAGATGTTCCCCTTCTTTTACTTGGACTTTTCCTAGCTGGACAACTCCTGCTCTAGGAGCCAGCTAAAAATGGGATGCCACTATGTGTTTGAGAGCTGCTTTGCCAAGACAGGCCTGCAGCAGAAACTTAATAGGCAGCTCTTTTTCATAAGGAAAATTTAGGTTTGGGGGGCTTTCTAAAAAAAAGATTTAATGTGCAACAACATTCCTTGTTGTAACTTAGCTTTCATATATCAGTATACACTGTATTTGGTGTCTTATTCAATAAACTAATTTTCAGTTTCATAATTTCTTTAGGCTTATATAAGGTGTTTAAAGCTGACATGAAACGAAAATTCACCATATCTGTTCTCTAAATCCATGTTATAGATTTTATAGTGGAAAAATGAATCTGTGCAAATGTTTCATTTGTAAGTTTATTTATTATCAGGGATGCCAGATATTATCGGACTGATATCGGAATCGGCCGATAATGGCTTTTAAATGTAAGCATCGGCACGATATGAAAAATTATGCCGATATGTCTTGCCGATAAGAGGAATACATGAACTCACATGTGGTCAGGGAGTGCTAGTGATTAGATCACGTCAGCAGTGTGGCTCATTCTTAAAGCAAAGTTTTGCCTGAATGGTGATTTAGATTCACTGCTTTGGATCGCTGCATTTAAACTGAGAAAGCACGTACAGAATGATGTATTTGGTGTATGATCGATTAAACGGTAATGGCACGTGCAGCGGTAGCCTCCCCCGGTTCCTTACGCCAGTTCGGTAAGGAGTTTTAATCTGTAGGGGGCACTGTTGGCCTACTTCTAATTAAATGAAAAGTAAAATAGCCTGCACAAATAACATTTAGACTGGTGTTTCTGATTAAATAAAGCAGTAATTGATGTCATAAAAAAATGAGTATGTTTTGATTTGAAGGTCAGAAGCTATAGCTTACATGAAAGAAATCACAAACATGACACTTGTAAATTAAATAGTTTTATATATACCGATTTATTAATTAATGTGTAATGTTTTATTTTTTAAACAAATCATAAGCTCTAAAAGATTTTCAGAATTTTTACAACTCTTTTGCTTTAGACTAGTGCTGGGTGGTATGACCAAAAATTTATATCACGGTATTTTTCAAAATTATACCGGTTTCACGGTACATGGCGTTTTTTTATTTTTTTTTCATGCATGACCGGGAGTTAACCATATTTTCTACTGATTAAGAGGAAATACTGCAGTATATTGACTTATGCCCTATTTTACTGTCATGATGAGTGAATATTGTCAAAAAATACCACACTAAATAGTGACTAAACACGACCCCTTTTAATACATGTTAACCAGGAGTCACTCTCATTTATAATTGCGGCATCGTCTGATAAAATCAGCATGCATCTACACTAAAGAGCGGCTATGCGGTTGTTTTGGCTATATTACTTTTTTGTCTCATGCAGCGCACAAAAAAGTGCATGTGATATTAACAGACGAACTACGCTCATATTTATAATTCCAAACAATCTATAGAGAAAATATAATTAAATAAAATTAACTTGACCTTCAAGGGGGGTTGGGCCGCCCCCCTAATATAATGGCAGGGGAAACACTGGGGTTAACACTGCATCTTTCTGGGGGAAGAAATGCAGTGATTGATATATAGTTTATTTATAGTTATTTTCAAAGCTTCAATGTACTGTCAAAAATCCTTCATTATTGTTTATTTAATTCTAACAAATAAGTTCTTGTTAAAAACTAACCAAAATTTAAAATATATTTTGCTTATAATTTGTGCACAGGAGAGACTTGATGTTGTTTCCAAACAAAAGGAAATATATTGGTATCGGCCAAAATGAGTTTAAAAATATCGGCAAAAATTCTATATCGTGCATCCCTATTTATTATTATTATTATTATTATCATCTTCAAAGATGTCAATCAAAGTCTTTTCTCTCTGGTGACGTATGCGGGGCTCATTTAGGATGTGTTCAAACTTGTAGGCCGGTTCTTGGTTCTTTTGGTACAGATCAAAAAAGAAAATGATAGAGTCCTGGTTCATTTAGCATTCACGAAAAATATCGGCATATCGGCAAAAATTCTATATCGTGCATCCCTATTTATTATTATTATTATTATTATTATTATTATCATCATCTTCAAAGATGTCAATCAAAGTCTTTTCTCTCTGGTGACGTATGCGGGGCTCATTTAGGATGTGTTCAAACTTGTAGGCCGGTTCTTGGTTCTTTTGGTACAGATCAAAAAAGAAAATGATAGAGTCCTGGTTCATTTAGCATTCACAATGTCATTTATAACAACTAACCTAAAGATACAAAACAAAAGGCACAAGGATACATACGGTCACAACCTGTGGCCGGTTGCATAAAAGCTTAGACTAGTCTTACAAGTCAGTCCTCTGATTTTTTTTTCTCTCTAAGACTGGTCATAAATTTTGTAAGTCAGTTACATAAAAAGAAGTTTGGTCCAAAAAATAAGACTCATTACCCCTTGGCTAAGAGCTAGTTTGTCAGCAGACAATATTAGCTAAATTTCTGCAACTGGTCTTTGATTGGGCAGCATTTATGACATATATTTAGCAACCCTACCAAACATCCAAAACTGCTATGTGCTGGGCTAAATCAGCTCGTTGTATGTGTGTGCATAAGGTGGTACTGTATTTTTACCAGCTTATAAGTCACAAAGAGGTTATGTAATGTGTAAAGGAGTAAAAATAGTGCCAGGAATTCCTCCGTTACACACTGAGATCTTTCCACTTGGTGTGCACCAAGGTTCAGACGGCAGTGTTCATACTAATTTAAATGAACTG